GAGTTGATAACAGCCTGTGACCTGTTGTCTTGTTGTTCCAGGCTGCCATCAAGGGTTTGACTATGGGAGGTTTGGAGGTCATCTCCATCACCGACAACACGCCGGTTCCGCACAACGGCTGCCGCCCGCGGAAAGCCAGGCGCATGTGAGAGCGGAGTGGAAGAGACTCTCTGCTTTCAACATCAGTTTGTGCAACAGGGGCTGGGTGGGGTGTTGCTCCTGTGACAGATTCTGGAAAGCTGCCCTCCCTGGAAATACTTGTTCAGGGAAGCTTGGAGAAGAGAGACTGTCCTGGGCCGTAGAAGCTGGTGGCAAAAGCAGGAATACGTGTACACCCTTAGTGGGAAGCCTCTTGTGTACAAAGTTTGTTGATTAAAATGTTGGCCTTTTGACAGCCGTTCCTGCTGTGTTCCCAGAAGTATTTTGGATTATTATTGCCTCTTGACTGCTCTCTTCCTCTTACCACCGTATGTGGCTCTTGTCTAGCCCTCTGTGCTATTATGGCCCTTGTTAGGTGGAAGGGCAGCTTGAGGTCTAGATCTCCTTCTAGTCATCTGTAGTAAACAGCTGCATGGGGTCACGTCATCTTCCTTCCCTCTTCCTTTCGCTGCACACATTTGGAAACAAAGGATGGGGTAACGTCCCCTTCCCCCGGCTTGCAGAGCTCAGAGTGCCACACGAGAGGCAACTCTCCCTGGTCGCACAGCCTGGCATGCTGCAGTCTGGATCCCTCACTGGCAAAGATCTGTCGTGGTGCTTTGTTCCACCCAAGCTGTAGCTGGCCTGCCAGTGCTATTGGCAAATGGAAAAGGCCAGTCCTTCTGAAGGGGCTGGGATCTTGCCAGTTTTGATGCGCGTGATCTCTTTGGCCCTGCCTTGCGTAGCACGAACTGGATTTTCTGGGATCCTGGGGAAAGCAAGCAGGGAATTAGTAGGCCTGAGGAACACTGAAATGCTGCCAAGGAGATTTAAAACACTGAAGTTTTGAACTGTACCTCTGTATATCCACAAGCAGCATGAGCTTGTCAGGGGTCTGATGTATTACTGCTGTCCCAGCTCCATCCAGAGAATCTCTGCCAAAGAAATATGTCTGAGGCTCTCTGGAGCATTAACCAGGGACGGTATCAGCAGTAACTGACTACAGGATTGATTTGCTGGATGGCAGAGGCACACAGCCTAGCAAAGGGCACCTCCTTGAAATCCATGTTGCCAGAGAAGCCCTGGCCCTATACAGCATACCCTGGGCAAATATTTCAACAGAGTGTATTTTGGTGCAGCCAGCAGTTCTATCACAAACCCAGAATCTTCCTTTCTATTATTTCTCTTTCTGTCATTCCTCCTTGGTTTCTTAAATTGCATATTTAACTATTCTCTTCCTCTTTAGAGAAAGGGTACCATGGCAACAAGGCAGTGAACCTCCTTCATGGGGCTGAATGGCATACGGCAGGTTTTGAAAGAAATCAGTCTGCCTAGAAGAGCCTGTTGAGTTGCATTGGACAGAAGAGAAGAAAACAAGATTCAGATGAATCCCCTACCTTACTCCAACTGTCTGAATTTGAATAGAGGATAGGTTATCTTAAAGGGAAGTTCCTTGAGCTGTCACAGATGTGACAGCGAGGAAAAGGGGTTCTTCCACAGATGTTTGACACACTAGAGGAGCCCCCTCGCTCCAGAATTACAGCTGAGCTTCTAGTGACTTCATATTCCTCTTTTTTAAGGAGAAAATATCAGGTCAGCTATAAACTGCAAAGATTTAACTCTCCAAGTATCTGGGCAGCCAGCAGCTGGGGAAGGCATGTGTGAGCCCTGATGTGCCTTCAGCAAGGCTAAGCACAGTGAGCAGCTCTGAGAAAGGAGGAGCACCCGTCTGCGCTGGCACGCTTGTCAGCAACGTACCGACACACTGAGGAAACCGAGCACGACCGTTCTCTGCCACAAGCTGCTCGTTGCACCAATGGAGAAATGCCCATACCAGATAGACAAACAAACTGCAAAACAAGATTGGGAAGAGATCCGCGGTCCTTCCAAAATTCAGGGAAGAGTAGGTGGGTGACTGGAGAGTCAGAAAGCAACAAGAATAAATCTTGGTCTTATCCAGACTTAGAATCAAGGCTGTGCCCTTTGTAAAGGCCACTCCGCAACACTCTTGGGTTCTGAACACTTGTGAGCATTTTATGAAGTCCACCACTGCTGATACAGGGGGAAGTTTTAGCTCCCTGTCTGCCCTGCCTCGTTCTGGTAGCTACGCCTACTTCTTCCTCCCACTGACATTTATATAGCACTCTCTGAGCTGGACACTGTTCTCCGTGGTTCAGTGGCTGGATCTGTACAGTATCATGCAATAGTTGTCTTCCCAACTCCCAGCTTCACGTACGCTTTCTGAGCTCTCTGGCACGGTGCTTCAGTTGTGCAGCTTTTTGTTGAAGTCACATTTCCCACCCACCTTCTCTCCTGCCCTGATGGAGCACCCCCAAAGCCACGTCCTAACTTAATGCTCAATCTGAGCTCTTTATTCTGCAGCACATCCCGGCCCTCCAGGGCAGCCATCAGTGAAGTGGGACAGCACAACTGCACAAAGCAAGCTCTCCCACCTTGTGCAAGGACTCAGTCGCTCCTTCCTGCACACACTGTACAGTGAAAGAAGTCTTAAAACTCTCTATTGTTGTTCATCTTGCAGGGAATTAATAGACACCAATAGCACTTAATGATTTCCTTACCCTTCAGTTGAAACTATTAATTAAGGGCCTGGTTTTAGTCAGCCACTGGTGTTTACCAGTTCTAATTGCTTTTCTTGGCACCTGGGTGGAATGCTGTTTTCTATTGGCTCACATTCCCCCCGAGCAGCAATTACTTTCCTTGTCAGTAGCACGGCTACAGCACTAGCCCCCTCAGTAGGGTCACATCTTGTCCCTTGGGGCTTCCCCATTACTTTGGGACATTTTTCTCTCCACTCCCTCCTCCTTTTGATTCCCTACTCCCAAAGAAGCCTTCTTCTATGAAACAAGCTCAGAAGCTGCTACTGACCACAAAGCTCCATCCTGGTTCAACCCTGACATTTCTGGGGTTTAAAATACCACACCGTATAGGGGGTGAAACACAAAACAGTCTTCCGACTTACAGAAAAAACGGTGCCCTTAACGAGTGCCACCTTGGGGAGTTAGTCTAACCCAGTTACCCTTCCCTTGGACATGGATGGTACCTGGTGGCTTGGAAAAATAGCCCCCAGCCTTCTCCCTTATAGTACGTTATTCTGCCAAGAGGAGTTATTTCCCTATCCCCTTTCCAGCTAAAGCTGCAGCTTTATCTGCTGAATTGGTGATTTACTATTTCTTATGTGAGCATCTCAGTGACAAGAGTCAGGCAGACAATTTCGATCCCTTTGTGAGATTCAATTAAACCATTAATTAAGTGATGTCAGTGTCCTTTAACAGCTGACTGTATACACAAGCAAGCAAGGAGCAGGGGACAGACCCTGCAGTGCTCATAAACTGTAGCAGCAGGGGTGGTTTACCGCAGCCCAGCTGCAGCTGTTGGGGATGTCTGTGCAGGTTTTGCTGGCTTCCCCTCTGGTGCGGGAATACCTGGCTGGGGATGTGCACAAAGCGGGGCGGTGGGTAGGTGTTTATAACCCTAAAACACCCCTCGGGAGCCTTTGAGAAGTAACAGTTCAAGTCAGGTGATGTTTTTGCATTCAGACTTCGGCAGATAATCAGGGTACTGCTTTCATGCCTGGTATCCCTTCCTGGCCCCTCTTCCCCTCTCAGCTGCCCCTCCAACCTCAGCCCATGACCTCTCAGACCAAAAAGAGATCAATCAAGGACCCTCAGATTGTTTTTGTGCTTTTCCAATGCTCTCCTCTCCCCTCAAGAGGCATTAATGGGTACTCAACGGCAGTGGGAACTGCTAAGAGGTTTTACTAATGAACTGCCTAATAGCATCCAAGTTCCCATGCTGATGGTGAAGTGGGGCTGTGGGGTCCACTTGGGGAGGTGCAGAGGGGAGCCAACCCTCGATGCTATTCCCTTTTTTTTTTTTGAAACCACTCACGCCTCCTCTGCTGCGCTCTCCAACCTCCCCCTGCACTAGTGCCACTTGGCAGGGTCCTTGCGTTTCTCTGCAGTCCGTAACTCTCTTCCTACGCCCACATCTACTGAGAGTCAGAGGCTGTGCACCTGGACCCAACCCTCTCAGCAGCTACGGAGCCCTAACAGCCATTGCTTGGGATAGATGCTCCTGGCAGCAGCTCCACAGCTTGTTTTTCTAAAAAAAAAAAAAGTAGGCAGAAGGGAGAAAGGGTTGGGTGCGAGGGGCTGAAGGCTAAGCAAGGATGCAGGCAACAAAAAAATGGGTTGGGAAAGAGAGAGAACACAGAGTAAAAAATGCAGGAAGAGAAAATACAACATTAAAAAAAAATTACAAAAATCCCAAGGCTAAAATCTCCCAGCTGGTGGTCCAAAAGTCAGAACAGATTAGGAGCAGGATGCAGGGAAGGGCTTTCAGAATCAGGCTAGATGCGCTCCCCTTTGCTGTCCTCCCAGCCAGATCTCCACGTCAGAAGCGTGGGGTGGCCTTGCTCGGGAGCCCTCCCTGCCAGCACAACCGGCTCTTTGGGGCTTTCACTTCACCATTTTAAAGAAGGTACGAAGACCATCCCAAAGCTGTATTTAGAAACTGCTCCAAAGCCCCTCCAAGCAGCAATGACCATCCTCAAAACCCTTCCGAGCGGGCTTGCCTGTGCCTGGCCACTTACCAATTCATTTTGCAAAGCCAAACTCTAACCCGCGGAGGCCGAGATTGATGTCCCTCCTACCTCCTGGACACATAGCTAGAGACTCAAGCTTGTGGCCCTTTCCCCCTCTGCTTGCTCCTCTGTGCAGGAGCAGGCCAGGCTTCCCACCCCGCGCAGGACTCCAGGTAACAAAGACAACTCGGGGCCCCAGGCAGGAGAAAGACAGTTTCATCCCCCAGCCCCTTCGGCAAGTCCCAGACGAGGTGATGAAATAGGACTCTTATCTCTTCATGCACCAGCCTGCAGTCAAGCAACGGGCTCTCCGAATTGCCAGCGGTGGCTCACACACAGCCCCTTGCCAAGGCCTGGATGCTGCCTTTCGTTTTGCCCCTGCCGACTCCACAGAAGTAAATTACCGAT